ACTGAAATGTAAAAAAAAAAAAAAAAATTATTTGATAACTTCATTCCTACATCTGCCACTGTCAGTCCTGGGATTTGTCTCATCAAACTGTGGTGCATTTGTCAATGTCAAGGGTGACATTCAAATTTTTACTAATATAATTTATTACATAAAAGTTGCCGCTTTAAGATCTATATCAATAACAGGAACATACTTGCATTTTGTTCTGTGATTTTGTTTTTTAAGATAGAAACTTGGAGGCCATGTCTGAAAGCTGTGGGCTGAAGTGAACATTGCTGCTGTCGTTTTCTGCCACTAATGACATCCGCAATGACTACTCAGCAAAACATTAAAACACACACTAATGAAATTAAAACTCCTGTTCGGTAATTAGAGACGCATCCCTGCTGTGTTTCATAAAGCAGTTGGGACAAAATCAGCCATGGCAAAAAGCGAATGTAAAAGGCGCCTATGCTTCTTACTCTCTTTCATCACTTCAAACATCCTCATCCTTCCAAATGGCCTCTTTCCCTCAAACCAGAAATATATGAGAAAGCAATAAGTCTGTGGTTCATATATTCTAAATGTGTCACAAAAATCGTGAAAATCGATACATCACTCTCATAAAAGGGCATAACTGCTGCCACATAGGAGGGGGATCACTTTACAGGCTCAAATAGGCTTTTATGAGTTCTGGATAATTATTAGCACCTAGATAGGAATGTTAAAAAGAGTGTGAGAGAAAAAACGTGGGCATGCAAGAGAGGAACAATAGGGAGCAAGAATGAGAGAGAGAGAGAGAGAGAGAGAGAGAGAGAGAGAGAGAGAGAGAGATGCCTATATTCATAGTACTAGATGAGAGAAAGAAAGAGAGAGAGAGAGAGAGAGAGAGAGAGAGAGAGAGAGAGAGAGAGAGATGCCTATATTCATAGTACTAGATGACAAAAACAACAGATCAATTGTCATTGTGTTTTGCTCTTGTTTGGTTGCCTGACAACATTACTGGTGAAAAAAAGAAGACGGCAAGTATGATGCATAAAAAAATTAATGAAACAATATGCTGCAGTATGAAAAAGTAAAGGAAAAACTGAGACAAAAAAAGAGTCCAATTATAGACTCATAAACAGAGTGCAGATGATAAATATTCTGGTTACACATGCAGGAAATGGACTGGTGTCTTGTGTAAATATACTCGCTAGGTGTGA